TGCTTATGCTTGTGCTTATGTTTGTGTGCTCTCTCTCTCTCTCTCTCTGTGTCAAATAAATAAATAAAATCTTAAAAAAAAAAAAAACAAAACTAACACTAGAGTACGAGAACAAACCAGCTTCCCAGTTGCTGTTCGTTTCTGCCTTTTCTGAGAAGCTCCTCTGGAAACTTCCCTTTCCACCCTTAGGCTGCCCCAATCTGGGGAAAGGATAGGTGGGGGCCCTGGGATAGCAGGGGTTGGCAGGGGAGTGGGGACCCATCCCAAGTAGCGCCCATCCAAAGTAGCATCCCAATGGCTGCTTTGTCCTCCAGCGATGTGCTGACCCCCACGGTCTTTGCCTTGCTCATGGTCTGTTTCTCCAACCTAGTGGGAGATCCAGAACACCAGCCATCTGGCAGCTGACGGGGAGCGGGCAGCCGCCTGGCCCGTGGGCATTCCAGCACCATCCCGCCCGGCCTCCCGCTTTGAGGTGCTGCGCTGGGACTATTTCACAGAGCAGCATGCTTTCTCCTGTGCTGACGGTTCGCCCCGATGCCCACTGCGAGGGGCCGACCGGGCCGATGTGGCTGACGTTCTAGGGGCAGCCCTGGAAGAGCTCAATCGTCGCTACCACCCAGCCCTGCGGCTCCAGAAACAGCAGCTGGTCAACGGCTACCGACGCTTTGATCCTGCCCGGGGCATGGAGTACACACTGGACTTGCAGCTGGAGGTGCTGACCCCCCAGGGCAGCCGCCGGCCCCTGACCCGCCGGGTGCAGCTGCTACGGCCGCTGAGCCGTGTGGAGATCTTGCCTGTGCCCTATGTCACGGAGGCCTCGCGTCTCACCGTGTTACTGCCTCTGGCTGCGGCCGAGCGTGACCTGGCCCCTGGCTTCCTGGAGGCCTTCGCCGCTGCAGCCCTGGAGCCCGGCGATGCGGCAGCGGCCTTGACCCTGCTGCTCCTGTACGAGCCCCGGCAGGCCCAGCGGGCGGCCCACGCGGACGTCTTTGCACCTGTCAAGGCCCGCGTGGCCGAACTGGAGCGGCGTTTCCCCGGTGCCCGGGTGCCCTGGCTCAGTGTGCAGACGGCCGCGCCCTCACCACTGCGCCTCCTGGATCTGCTCTCCAAGAAGCACCCGCTGGACACGCTGTTCCTGCTGGCCGGGCCAGACACGGTGCTCACGCCTGACTTCCTGAACCGCTGCCGCATGCACGCCATCTCCGGCTGGCAGGCCTTCTTCCCCATGCACTTCCAGGCCTTCCACCCGGCCGTGGCCCCCCCCCAGGGCCCCGGGCCCCCGGAGCTGGGCCGAGACACGGGCCGCTTTGATCGCCAGGCGGCCAGCGAGGCCTGCTTCTACAACTCCGACTACGTGGCAGCGCGCGGGCGGCTTGCAGCGGCCCCCGAGCAGGAGGAGGAGCTGCTGGAGAGCCTGGACGTGTACGGGCTCTTCCTGCGCTTCTCCGGCCTCCACGTGCTGCGGGCCGTGGAGCCCGCACTGCTGCAGCGCTACCGGGCCCAGGCATGCAGCGCGCGGCTCGGCGAGGACCTGTACCACCGCTGCCGCGAGAGCGAGCTGGAGGGCCTGGGCTCCCGCACCCAGCTAGCCATGCTGCTCTTCGAGCAGGAGCAGGGCAACAGCACCTGAGCCCGCCCCGCAGCCCGGAGCCCCGGCATGGCAGCGCCCCCCACCAACTCCTCCCCAGCAACCCAGAGCCACCTACCAGCCTCGCCGGACAGGGCTGGCTGCAGCCTCGGACCCCAGGGCCGCCCGCGGGCCCCCTCTCTCTAGCTTTGTGGGTCCTCGGGCTCAGGACAGGCCCCAGCGGGCGGGGGGGGGAGGAACCTCCGGAACCGCCCCTTCCTGCCCCAAACCTGGTCTCCCTGCCCCCGCCCCCCTTGACGCTGCTGATCAGGCTGTGGCCTCTTGAGTATTTATGCAGTGCAGTCTGCCTGACGCCAGCCCCATCTCCTAGGGCCTCCTGGGGGCTGGGCTGTAGATGAGTGGTTGGGGAAGAGGGGAGCTGAGAGAAGAAGGTAGGGTATCTCCCAACTTCTCCCTTCTGGACCTGGATGAAGCTCCCTGCCTTTAATAAACTGACTGAGTGTGGACTCGTGATTCTGAGTTTTCAAAGGTGGCCTGGGGATGGGGAGGACTGGCTGGGAGGATGGAGGCTCCCTTGTCCTGGCTGGCTGGGGCCCGGGTTTCCTTTTCCCTGGGATCAAGCCATGCCTGTGCCCCACCCTGCCCCAGCTTGGTCATACAGGCACACAGAGAATTCTTTATGCCTCTTTATTCTCAGTTTCATCAGCGCTTTATAAAACCAGACCGGAGGCAGAGAGGCCCGTGGAGAAGGCTCCCTTCCCACCCCCAAGCTCAGCCAAGGTCTAATGGGTCAGCCTGCTCCCTGTGGAGGGGACTCTGAAGGTCGGGTTGGGGCAGGGGGAATTGGGACCTGGGCCAGGCCTGCTGGGCCACCCAGTCCCCCTGCCAAAAGGGGAGCTGGGCCTGGAGAGGGACAGGAAGTAGGACCAGCCCAGCACTCCTGAGTCCTGGGGGTTCTCCCTCTCCTGCTGACATTCTAGGGCTGGGACCCTTGGCTGTCCCTGAATCACCCACCCCCATAACCCCACCCACCTTCTACATCTGTAGCCCCACCCCCACCCTGTCCTCCCTAAATATATACAAATGTACAGGGGGTCCCACCCCTGCTCGGGTGGGCCCCTTCCTCCACCTCCCTTGCTCCTTTCCTCCCCTCCCCTCCAGCCCTCCCCGGGCACCAGCCTGGGGCTTGGGGCGGGGGGGGGGGGGGGGGGGGGAGAGGGTGGACCAGAAGGACCCTTGTGCAAAGCCACTGGCGCCAGAGCTGGTGAGAGCCTGAACCGAGTCCCCACCCTCCCAGCGAGCACCGCCCTCTCCCCCTCCCCTTGGGCTGCCCCCAGGCCTTGTGTCCCAGGAGCAGGAGGAGACTTGGGGATCCTGGGAGGGGTCCCAGAGTCCTGGGTCTTTTTAGACACAGCACCATCCTAGCAAGCAAAGTCTTCAAAGAGGCCTCCTCGGGGGCCAGGAGGGTGGTGGTGGTTGGGGAGCAGGCCGCTGGCTCCCCCGCCCTCAGCACGGCCCCGGCTGGGGCATGGGCTCTGCGAGATGAAGAGGGAGTGAGACAGGAAGAATGTGAGTCAGACCCCCCGGGCCCCACACAGCCAGGCTTTCCCTGTGCCCTGGGGCAGGGGCTCCAGGGGAGCTCTGACAGGCTGGGTCAGAAGCTGCTGAGGCCCTCAGTCCTAGCAGACTGCACTCTGCAGAGCTCCTCCTCACCTGCTCCTTCAGCTCCTGCAGCCCCAGGGTGGAGATGCCCCCAGTGGAGGTCCGCAGGGGGGTCTTGGGACGACGCCACGCCCGCTTCATTCGGTCCCAGGACACCTTGGGGTTCAGGGTGGGGGGACAGCAGTGGGCTCAGGAAACTTGGTAGGGGAGAAGGGCTAGGCCTCACTGGGGCCCACCTTGTAGGACTCGCTGCCCCAGCAAACCCCCAAGAGGACTCCCTAATCCTCCCCACCCATCCCCTTCTCCTAACTCCTCAGTGCCCTCATGCCTTCCAGCTGGTCAGGAGACCCGGGCCCCAACTGCCAAGCTTGGCTTCGCGGCCACGCCAGCCGCACCGGGAAGCCTGTACTGCCCGCCCGGCTTTTCCCACAGCCCCTCCTCCCACCCTCCATGCCCCCTCCAGGGGGGCCCTCCCCAGGCCCCCATCCCTTGCCTCATAGATGTAGTCCAGGATCTCCAGTAGTGTGAGGATGCTGGCCCCGATGAATAGACCCATCTGTCCCCCGAGGTCTCCTGGGGAGCACGAGAGCAGGTCAGAAGTACAGGCTAGGCTGATCCACCCGCATGGAAACGGGTCAGGACCGTGGCTCACCCAGCAGGGCTGACAGGCCATAGGCTGCTCTCTGCTCCATGGCCTCAGAGGTCAGGGCTTCAAAAAAGACATCGAGGACCAGGAAGTTCTCCCTGTGGAGACAGGAAGCAGAGTGTCCCTGTGGGGCGGTCCTCCTGAGGAGGCGGCTGGCGGGGACATCCCAGGTCCAGCAGGTCCTGATCTGAGGTCCCCTGCCCCAAGAAGCCGGTGACCACCTCCCTCAGACTCCCAAAGGCTGTGAGGGTGGACAGTCCTAGGTGCATGTCTGTTTTATATTTTGAGGGTTACCCACGGGCCTGGGAGAGCAAAATAAAACTCCTGGACCTGAAGGAGTCCCTCCTGCCTTCCGCTGTAAAGCAGCAAATGACATTCACTCCGCATCACCACAATACCTCTCTAGAACTTTCAGTGGCTCCCTATTGCCCAGCAGTCCACCCCCAAATTCTTTTTCCGGGCCTCCAAGACTGCCCATGATCTGCACCTTCTCTCCACACAGCCTCCCCGCCACTCAGTATGATCCCACAGTTCTCTAGTTGGGAGGCCTCCCCCCGTCTCCTCCTCTCACACACCCAGGGGCTTCAGAGGCCTGGCCTCCCCTGCTTCGTCATCCTCCCAGCCCAGTAATCTCAGTGGAGGCCTGACAGTCGGTATCACACCATCAAATATGGCCTCACCCACACACTGTGGCGGGAGCTTTGTGGTGTAATCGTCTCTGTCCCCACAGGACCCACACCCTGACACCCTGGAACCCACAGGATGCTCAGCATTTGTAGATTGGCTGCAGGGGACCAGACCCAAGGCTCAGTGAGGTCTCTCCTGCCAGCCAGCCACCTGGTCCCTCTCCATCAGCACGGCATTCCCTCAGTGTGCATTTAATGGCCCCCAGGTTGCTGGGGGAGAAAGACACAGCAGAGGGCGGGAAAGCAACAGGTGGGTGCAATGAGAGAGAGAGAGAGGTACAGGCTGCTGTGGGAGCTCAGAGGAAAGACGTTGGGATCATGAAGGGCCTCCCTGGAGGTGCCTGAGTGTCTTCAGTCAGTTAAGCAGCTGCCTTCGGCTCAGGTCATGAGCTCAGGGTCCTGGGATGGAGCCCTGGGTCAGGCTCTGCGCTCAGCGGGGAGTCTGCTTCTCCCTCTCCCTCTGCTCCTCCCCCCACTCATGCGCGCTTGTGTGTGTACGCACACTCTCTCTCTCAAATAAATAAAAATCTTTATTTAAAAAAAGAGGGGCCTCCCTGGAGGTGGGGACACAGGACGGGACGTGGAGGATGGGTAGGGTTTAATTAGAGGAATGGGATTGTGAAAGGCATCCCTGGCAGGAACCTCATTAGTAAGAAAGATGCAGCCCACACCCAGTCTGCGCCATGCACCAGGCCTGTTGAGGGTGACCTCCACTACACACACACACACACACACACACACACACACACACGTACCGGATGTAGGTCTCATTGCGGTTGTACTTCCTTGCCAGGTACCGGGCTGAGCCCCTGTTGGGGATCCTGACCATGGAGATTTCTTTCCCGTAGCGAGTCAGGTTGCAGGGAGTAGGGCAGAAACACGGGCCCTCGGAGCCCCCACCCAAGGAGTCTGCAACACAGAGGCACCAGCTGCAAGGGGGGAGGGCGGGTGGCCCAGAGGCCCACTAGCTGCCAGGAGAAGGTGTAGGGGCTGTTCTGAGGAAGGCACATCCCCAGGGCGGGGCGGGGGGGGGCCTCTACAGGCACTGCTTAGGGGAGACCCGCTGGGGGATCCTTCCTGGACCAGCTTCAGACTACCTAAGAAAGCAGGTGAACGTAGAGCCCCCCAGCACCCTCCTATAGGCTTATTCTTCTGTGTCCCAGCCCCCTGGGGTGGAGAAGTCCCCATGGCTCAGACTGAGGACACAACCCATCCATCGGAGCTAATCAATCACATGAGGCCTCACACACACACGGGGCTTGGAGGATGCTGGATGAATGGGATTATATGCTTGTTTTTACATATGCAGATGGATGAGTGGATGAGTGGGTGGGTGGATGGACAGATGGGCAGAAAGACAAATGCTATGTTTAATATGCTGGATTTTCTCGGGGAGCCTGGATGGCTCAGTCAGTTAGGCATCCAACTCTTGGTTTCAGCTCAGGTCATGATCTCACGGGCCTGGGTCCATGCTCAGCGGGGAGTCTGCTTGAAGATTCTTTCCCTCTGCCCCTCCCCCCCACTTGTGTGAACGCACATGTGCGCTCTCTCTCTCTCTCTCAAATAAATAAATCTTTTTTTTAAAGATTTTATTTATTTATTCATGAGAGAGAGAGAGAGAGGCAGAGGGAGAAGCAGACTTCCCGCAGAGCGGGGAGCCCGATGCGGGACTCGATCCCAGGACTCCGGGACCATGACCTGAGCCGAAGGCAGACGCTTAACCATCTGAGCCACCCAGGCGCCCACAAATAAATAAATCTTTAAAAAAACATGTTGAGGGGCGCCTGGGTGGCTCAGTCGTTAAGCGTCTGCCCTTGGCTCAGGTCATGATCCCAGGGTTCTGGGATCGAGCCCCACATCGGGCTCCCTGCTTGGTGTGGGGCCTGCTTCTCCCTCTCCCTCTGCCCCTGCTTGTGTTCCTTCTCTCGCTGTGTCTCTCCCTGTCAAATAAATAAATAAAATCTTAAAAATATATATATATGTTGAAAAAAAATTTTTAAGTAAAAAAACATGCTAGATTTTCTCTGTTCCCCTCTTCAGATTCACTCTCCACTCTCCTCCACTTTTCTCTGTGCCCAGGAGACGGGGCTCTCTGCCAGACGCATCAGCTAGACTCCCTCGTCTTCTGGCTTTGGGTTGGGTTGGGCCAATGGAAGAGACCCCAGCAGAGGCAGAGGGTAAGGAGGGGACAGATGCCAGGGGATTTCTTTTCCTGGCTTCCTCTCCACCAGGCTGTGGGTCGGCTGAGGCTGTTCCCCCCTCTTGTGGCCATAGCTCCTGTCCTCTGGGACAGCCACAGGTCTCTGTCTGGGCCCCAGCGGTGTTCCTTCCCTTTACCACCTCAGGCCTGCACAAGTCGATCCTGCCCAGTATTGCTAGTTCTGTGCAGTTTCACCATCCCTGTGGTTCCCGTGTCCCTGCTCTCACATCTACCCCTTCATTAACCATCCTTGCCCCTTTGGCTGATGCGGTTGGGATGCGGGACAGAGAAGGTCTCGGTGTGGTTTCACTGCCAGTCCTGTCTCTCCCTCCCCACGGCCCCACCGTCCGGATGACTGCAATGCCCTCCTGACCGCTTGCCCTGCTTCTGCTCTTACTCCCGCCATCCATTCTCCGCAGCGGCTCAGAGTCACCTTGTTTAACATCAGAGGGCGCTCTTGCCTTGCCTTGAGCCACCATGGGCTTCCCAGAGCCTCCTCCACTCTTGCTGCCCCCTCCTGTGTTCTCTGCCCTCCAGGCTTGCTGACCTTTCCGTGCCCCACCCCCACACTCTCTCTGGCCACAGATGTCTAGCACAGAACTGTCCCCACCACCTAGATCATGGCCCTGCCTTTCACCAGTCTGGCTCTTCCGTACCCTTCAAGTCTCAGCTAATCAATCACTTCCTCCAAGGATCCTCCCGCCTTCCCAGGTGGAGCTGCACGCCCCTCCCTGGGGCCCTGTAGCACCCCTGAGATTCCCCCTCTGCAAGGACTAGCTCCATGCCATCACAGTGTCCGTCCACAGCCCCGCGGGCCGGGAAGCTCCATGAGGACGGCCTCTTGCTCCCACTCTCACCTCCGGCACCAGCCCAGGCTGGCAACGTCTGCAGAAGAAGGAGTGGATGGATGGATGAAAGAATGAGTGAATCGCAGCCCAAGTGAGACCTACGGACAGATGGGGCTTGCCTTACCCACACTGACACTCAGCAGTGCATCTCTCCTCAGCCCGAGAGAAGTCCTTTCACTTTCCCAGAGACAGTGAGCTCATTTGCTGAGCCAGGACAGAAGCCCAGCCCTTCACTCCCAGTCCTGGGTTTTCTACACCCCCCCACCCTGCTGCCTCCACTTACCCAAGTGTCCACACCTGCAAAGTCCTCAGAACCCCTGGAAGTATGGGATAAGGCTCAACCCCGGGAAGAACCATCCAGGGAGAGACTAGGAGGAGGGGGACCAAGGCAGTGAGGAGAACGGTGGACAGAGAGATGAAGAGGAGGATGATGGAGAGGCAGGGGAAGGGAGAAGGCAGCACGGACCCAGTGTGTGGTCGGCACACTCGATGTAGATATTTGGCGGGCAGATGGTCTCATTGCCTGAAAGGAGAGAAGATTATTCCTGGAGTCTACGGGTCCACCCCCTCTCCCCCACCACATTCCCAAATGTGGGCACACACGTACGTGCATGCACACGTGCACACACATGTAGGTGTTTGCACATCCCTATACACGCCCGAGCTTCTACATGCTTGTGCATGCATGCCGAAATGTCCACAAGCATATATGCTTGCAAGCATGTGCGCACTCGCACGCGCACGTATTCACACATCTGTATGCCTGTGTTCCAGCCCGTGCACACAACCCCCTCAAGCATGCAAGCATAAATGTACATAAACACATGTATGCTCAGATACATATTAACATGCCACACGCATGCACGTGTGCATTCCCAGGTGCACACGTGAAACCACATAAAACCCCAAACAGGGGCGTCTGGGTGGCACAGTCTGTTACGCATCTGACTCTTAGTTTCAGCTCAGGTCATGATCTCAGGTTCATGAGATCAAGCCCCGGCAGCTCCCTGCTCAGCAGGAGTCTGCTTCTCTCTCACTCCCTCTGTCCCTCCTCCCCGCTCTCTCTCTCTCAAATAAGTAAGTCCTTTTTAAAAACCCCAAGCCCACACGCATGCCCTCGCAGGAGGCTAGACCCACACAGGGGCAGCCTTCCGCCCTGGAGGACCTGGAGCCCGGCAGGGCGGCGGAGGCCGGCGGGAGGGGAGGGCGCCCACCTGGCATGTGCACCATCCTGCACTGGCAGCGCTGAAGCACGGCCTCCTTCTCACAGCGCAGCCGGCAGGCAGACACGCTGTAGGCTGAGTAGCCCTGAAGCTCAGGCTCCCGGAGCCCGCTCTCCGCCCGGCAGTTGCCCCAGGGCTGGGGCAGATAGGTCAGCTGCGGAGGTGGGGCATATGGGGTCACGCCTCAGAGTCCCCCGGGGCCCTCCACTGCCCACAGCTCCAGCAAAGTCCATGGGCGGGGGGCGGTGAGCTTTTGAGGGCAGGGCTGGTCAGCATCCCCTCTGGGCCCAAAGACCCTGCCCTATGCCCGAAAAATTCAGGACCCAACTGGAGGTGCTCACCCGCTGTTCCTGGCAGGACACGAAGGTTTGGAAGCCTGGGGACACACCGAAGCCCAACTGGTGGATGTAGGGGGGCTCCTCTTGGCTATGGATCTGCACTCGGATGCCAGCCTCAAACGATGTCTCGTCTGCACAGTGGCCGTGGGGACATTGGGAAACCCATGCCGGGCAGCGGGCCCAGGCTGGAGCCCCCAAACTGGCCCCCCGTCCCTTTCCCTGCATACTTGTCTCTCTCCAGATGGGCAGGTATTCCTCCTGCTGGATGTCCAACATGATCTCCAGGCCACTGCCCATGCCCCCTGCCCGACTGGGCAGCGAACTCTGTGGATCTGCGTTGAAGGTGTAACACTTCCCATAGCGGGTATAGACCTGCGGGGTGAGAGAGAGGAGGAGAGGAGATGAAGGGAGGGGCTAAGACAATTCCTTAAGCTCAAGGTTCCCTGTCCTGTGGGAGGACCATTGCACCTGCCTGGACTCCACTGTCCAATAGCGAGCAGTCTGCAGCCCCGCCTCTTCCCCAAGCAGGATCTTTTCTAGTGACACCCTCTCTTAGACGACTCAAAGGCATCCCCAGCATCACATATCAATAGCAGAACTCTTGCTACCTTCCCAAAACCTGTGCTCCCCTTCCTCTAATTAAAGGGCCCCACCATCTATCTATCCAGTTTCTCAAGTCAGAACCCTGACACTTCCCTCTCCCTCACCCCTACGTTAGATCCAGCATGTGCACCGGCCGATTCGACTTCTGAAATCTATTTAGAATCCAACCACTTTCCTTCCATCTCGTGCCCCCCCCCCCCTTTCACCACCATCTCCCACCTGGCCGTGGCGATGGGCTCCTAACTGGTCTGCCTTCATCCATCCTTGCCCCTCACTCCTGGCCCTTCCCCCACACAGTAGCCAGAGTGCCCGTTGTAAAGTGCATGGATCCGATCGAGTCCCTTGCTGGCTTGAAACCCAACATTTCCCAGAGAGTAAAGCTCAACTCCTTCCCTGGCCTGAAAATCTCCATGCAGTGTGACCTCTCCTGCCACTCCAGCCCCGGGATCTCGCAGGTGACAAATTCAAACTTATGGAGCACCTTCCTTCCTCTGGCCCTTGTTCGTTCAGTTCCTCCACCTGGAATGCCTCCTCCCACCCCGCCCTTGGCATGGTTAGCTGCCTTTTAAGTCTCTGCTTAAATGTCCCCTCTTCAGACGCGTGCCCATATACCACACACACAGGTCACCGAGGTGTTCGTTGGTTTGCTGAGTACTTATCAAGACCTGAGATGATCTGGTGTATCTGTTTGTCTCCTTGTCCAGGGCCCATCTCTCGCCCACTGAGGTTTATGCGGCAGAGGAGCAATGAGCTTGTTCGGTGTCCCCAGCCCTGGCCCAGTGCCGAGCACAAGGGATGCTTATAAGCAGTCACTGCCGTGCTCAACGAAGCCCCTTTTTCCCGTACGGAGAGTTCCCCGGCATGGACACCAGATGGCGCTGGCGCCCCGGAGATGGAAGCCGAGGCACCGTCGGCCCTGGCTGCGACGGGGCTTCGCGGAGCAGCTGGGCCGGGGGGTCAAAGGAGAGGCGGAGGCAAGTTCCCCGCTGCCAGGCTCACCCCACAGAGACGAGCCCCCGGGTCAAACCCATCACAGGCAGCACCTTCCCTGGGGGCAAGGGGTCAGTGCCCTCAATCACTCTCGCGCTCCCCCTCCCCTCTCCTTGGGAACATTTCGCACTGGTAAAAGCTGGGAGAAAAGGCACGGGCGGTGTTGGGGAAAAGATATCCTAAATGCCTAGCTTCAGAGAGACGGTGTAGAAGAGAGAGGGGCTGGGTTGGGGGCAGCAGGAGGGAGGCTGTCGAAGAACTGGGGGCCTGGGACACCCTTATTGGGGATCAGGGTTAAGTCTCCCATGCCCTAGTGATGCTCTCCAATCACACCATTCTTCTGTCACCCAAACACCTTGCCTCTCAGTCCTCAAACAAAAATGGGTGCGTAACAAGCACGTGCAATTTACAAAACATGGCTACATCCACCCCTGCCCTATTGCATGCACTCAGCAACTCTGGTATGGACAGGTTTCATTAACCTGGTTTTTAAAGACCAGGAAATGACCGCTCAGGGAGGTGATGTGCCTTGCTCAAGGTCACACAACCAGTCAACTAGTTGGTGGGAGAAGTGGAATTCGTCTGGATGCAAGACTTGAGCTGTTCCCACAACCCATTACTGGGAGCTGCCCACCCGCCAAGCCAGACCCCAGCTCCTTCTCAGCCCCGCCCAGCGGAAGGAGACAGGTGTGTGACTCCACACCCATCTGTCCCCCCTTCCCCTCTTCCTCCTTCCCTTGAGCGCCACTCCTGTACACCTTCCTTGCTCTTTGTTCTGCAGATCCCCTCCCTCTCAGTTCCTCTCCTGTCCCTCCCTTCCTGCTCTGCCCCTTCTCCTGCTTCTGGGTTCCGGTCCTTGGCCCTGTCCGGATCACTCTGCCCACTCTGCTGGAGCAGGAGGAAGCACGGCACAGTCCCAGAGCATTTGCCCTGCCCAGGCACTAAAGCTAAATGCCTCACGTGCTCTTTCCAATGGGATCTTCACAACCACCCTAGATCCCACAGATGAAGAAATGGAGGCTCAGAGAGGTGGACTGATTTACCAAGGTCTCCGAGATCACTGCTTCTCAGACTTTCATGTGTGCACAAAAGCACTTGGGGACCTTGCTAAAATACAGATTCTGATTCAGTAATGTGTGAGATTCTGCATTTCTAACAACCTGCTGGTCCGTGGACTGCACTTCAAGTAGAAAGGCCCTGAATGAACAACAGGTGAGAGTCCAGTAAGACAGCTCCACTTTAGACCTGCGCTCTGACCTGTCACTGGAGGGAGGGGAACCCGGAAAAGGGGTGGGTGCAAGATTCTTGGATCCCCAGGGGTGTAGGAAAGACAGATGGGGGGAATACATAAGTATTTGCCTCGAATCTCAAAGCACCACCCTCTTCCTACTTAAGGCCAAAAAGATGCTGGAATTGGCTCTTACCAATGCAGCCAGTTGAGCGTATGCTCTAGTTGAGAGGCTGAACAAGGCATGGGCTCCATGGGGGACCCAGTTAGTGAGCTGCCCCCCACCCTCATTCCCGCCCCCCCCCCCAAGCTGCTCTCCCTGACCACCAGAAACCATCACGGCCTCTCCACAGCTCAACCCAACCCATGAGACTGTGGCCTCCCTGCGGCTGGGGGCCACAGTTTACCATCTTGGCTGGCAAAGAGCCTAGCACAACTTGTAGGAGGCATGAGGTGGACGGAAGGAGTTGCAGGCAAGTCCTTCCAAAGGCCCGGTGCTATGGTGCTTTTGATTTATTTTCTCCTTCGAACTTTCCAGAAAACCACACGAGGAAAGTATTGTTGCCCCCATTTAATGGTGAAGAAGCTCAGAAAGGGAAAGTGACTTGGCTAAGGGCTCACAGCAAGGAAATGACGACAGAGATTCAAACACAACCGAGCCCAACACCAAAGCAGAGTTAGTGCTTATAAAGACCCGGTAGGCATTCAGTGACTACAAGACTCTGGTAGGCTCCTGCCCTGGATGGGGCTCGGCCAGCCTCCCTTCCTGATACTTCCAACGTGTTCATACAGACACATGCTGTGTGACCTGGAGCCCAGCCCCGTGCAGGGCAGAGGGAACCAGGAAGGTTTTGACTACAGTGACTTGGCCGGGGGGGAAGGGGGGGGGGCTTCTTGGCCCCCTGACCTTGAGGCGGTAGTGCAGAACAGCAGTGACAGATGGGGGAGGAGCTCTGGGACTGCTGGCTGTACCCTGCAGGGAACGGGCAGGCCAGATTGGCAGGGCCACCTGCACGGCCCAGGTCAGGCCCGACTGCTGAGCAGAGCAGAGCGTTGCCCCGGAGACAGTCCCCGGGCCAGGCAGTAGCGGCGGGGGGAGCTGCCAGCTCCTAAGTGGCAGAAGTCTGGTGGCGGCACAGCCCCCGGCCTCTTCCATGGAGACAGCACGGCAGCTCCGCCTCAAGGTCCCCCAGGCTGGTCACTGCTCCCTTCCGCATGGACAGGCCCCGAAGGAGGGTGTGTCCGGGGCCCAGCAACGGAGAGGGGCAGGTGCAGGGCCACAATGTGCCTTCATGGGCTGAGGGTCTGTCTCCAAATGACCCACCATCAACGCCTTTGGGCCCTGTTCCCATCTCAGACCCCCACCTCTTCCTTTGGTCTGCCCCCCACCCCCTTTGCTCTCTGCCTCAGCTCCCAGGTCCACCTTCCTGATCCGAGGCTAAGCGCATGGCTTCCCAGGCTGAACAGCTTCTAGACGGGAGTCTGTCTGTGCTGCGTGGGGACCCTTGGACCCCCTCCATGACCTTTGTCTTTCTTTCTTTCTTTCTTTTTTAAGCTTTTATTTATTTATTTGTCAGAGAGACAGAGAGCACAAGCAGGGGGAGCAGCAGAGGCAGAGGGAGAAGCAGGCTCCCCACCGAGCAGGGAGCCCGATGCGGGGCTCGATCCCAGGACCCCAGGATCATGACCTGAGCCGAAGGCAGACGCTTAACGACTGAGCCACCCAGGCGCCCCTCCATGACCTTTTTCTGGCCAGCCCCCTACCTGTCCCTCTCAGAGAGCTTTACCCTTTCTTGGCCCAGACCCTGGCCTGGGTTTGCCTCCCTAGTCTCTGTCCCCTGATCTTGGTCTGTGTCTCAAGGCCGTTCTCTCTTCTCCTGGCCTGGCTGTCCTCAGCGTCTGAGAAACTACCCATCCGGCTTCTGTTTCTCTGTCCATCGCCTTCTTTCGGCCTGTCTGTCACCCTAGCCTCCATTTCCTCTCCCACTGGCCTGGCTGCCCCCATTTTCTCTGTTCCTTCGACCTCAGCATCTGCATCCTGTTTATCCTTAGCCTAGGTGTCCAGTCTCTGTCTCTTGTCCTACTAGACTTTTCCCTGGGCCTGAAATTGCCCCTGTCAAGCCAGGAACCCCTCCCTAGGTGTGCTTCCCTCCTTCTCCCTGCCCCCCCACCGACATCAGAGCTTGGGAGAAATCTGTCCAGAGCTCTCTACTCTGAGCAGTGGCTCCTCTCAGCCCCTTGGGTTCCATCTATCCACAGCTCCGATTTCCCCGCAAAGCTCTCCTTGGCTGGCTGGCTTGCATGCACCCCCCAGCCCTCCCCACCCCTCATCCTCCCTGCAGTCATGGAGCCCACTGGAGCCCACAGGGTTAATAGGCAATTAGCAGGGCCAGGGCTCAGAGCTGTGGGGGAGAGGGCCCTGGGCCTCCAGGAGATAAGAAGCAGCCCAGAGCAGCAGAGGCTGGGCTAATCCCGGAGCTAATCTGCGGCCTGGGCTTTTATCTTCACCACCTTCTGGGCACCCTGCCTCCGCTAAGGCCCTGGCACCTCCACCCCCCCGCTTTTCCACAGTAGCTTCATCCCCCACATATTCCATTAGCCCTCCCCTGATGTGGTCCAGCCCCAGGCCTTTCACAGGCCCCTGGAATGAACTCCCCTTAACGCTAAAGTGCCCTGGAGTCTACAGGGGGCCGGTGGTGGAAGGGGACGCATCTTCTCTGGTCTTGGACTGTGACTAACACAGCAGGTTGAACAACTCTTGAACAACTTCAAAACCTCCTGCATCTCTATCCTCACCTGGGTAGGAAGAAAGCACCAACTCAAGACACCTGGGGTGTCTGTGCTGGTCCTATAAAGACCAAAGCAGAAGCCTAGGGGAGGCAAGGTACATATCCAAGGGCACAGAGGAAGACGGGGCAAATTCAGAACTAGAGTCCAGTCCCTCTCCCCCACTGGCCCAACACTCTTCTCTGACCCCCCCGGGGAGTCAGTAGACCCTGGTGCCAGCCTCAGCATCACCACAGACGGCCTGTGTAACCTTGGCTAATAAAGTGATTTATTGACTTCTCTTGACCTGTTTCCTCATCTGTCAAGTGGGAATAGAAATTCTTGCCTGACTTATTTCACGGGGTGATTGTAAGGAGTGGAGCTAAAAGGCATCTGCAAAGTGAAATCATATACCCGAGGCCTCAACGTTAGCAAGAAGAGTGTTGTAGAGACAGCTAAGAACCTGGGGCAGAGATGGACCATTGGAGGTGGTGCTGGAAATGGATACACATAACACAGCTTCTTAACTTGGGGAAAGGGGCACATATTTCGGAGTCCTACAGAACAGGGTTCAAATCCTGGCTCTGCCACCAGCCTCGGACAAACCACCTTGGGTGTGTGGGCAAGATTTAATCTCGCTGAGCCTAGGGTTGCTCATCTGTTAAAGGGAAGTGGTAATTTCTCCTCCTAAAGTTAGTCGTGAGGATGAGAGAGAAGTTCGGAGTGATGCGTGGTAGGGTGCTCAAGGAAGGCAGCGGGCGGTGGTGTGGGGTGTGGATTTGTGAATGGAGCTTCTTGCCAAATGGTGCAGCTCTTTTCTCTCTCTCTCTCTCTCTTTCTTTCTCATATTGACGTATACTTGACATGGTGCAGCATTTTGATCTTGGATTCCCACTGGTCCCATTCTCAGGGCAGCATGCACCTTGGTAAAGCGTCTCTCAGCAATCTGTCAGCGTGGAAACCCCCCAGCGCTGAGAAACGGCTCTCCTACTGGCTGGGAAGCAGCACCCAGCCAACAAGCCTGCAGCTCACCCTGGTTCACACCTGGGCCCCGCCTTCACTGTCTGTGGCATTCGGGTTCAGTCATTTAACCTGTAAAATGGGAATAATAATAATAGGCGCCCTTCAGAGGTGTCATGAGGAAAGAGATAATCTACATGAGTAATTGCAACATCTAACATTTATTTAGTGCTTACTCTCTGCCAAGCATGGACCTAAGCACTTAACATAAATTAACGCCCTAATCCTCACAGAAACCCTATACAGGGGGTGACTTATCCCCATTTTATAGACAAGATAATAGAGGCCCAAAGAGGGTAGGGGCCTGCCAGGGTGACATCACACAGCACAGCAGGTGCTGGGCAGTCTGGTGCCCGAGTCTGTGCTTGAACCTAGTGTGTGATGATACACACGGGCACAGCGCCCGCCAATAGTAGGTGCTCAAGAGATGGCAGGTGCTCACACAACAGTCATGTCCCAGCACTGTTCTTTGAGCCTGTGCCCTGTGTCGGGCACAGGGGATGGCGCTGGGGATGGTTCAGAGAACCAAACAGACGGTCTCAGCCCTGAGGGCCTTTGCTGTCTGACTGCAGAGGGATTCATTCATTCAAAACGTGTTTATTGAGCCGCCTACACTAAGAGGCAGGTGAACAGCAGTGGGGAACAAAACAGACCCGGCAACCACAGGTATAGGCAGATCGTTACTAGTTGTGATTATTGCTGTGATGGGGAGACCAGCACAAGTCCTCTGACGGTGGGACAAGAGCTGGAGTTGGGTTGGGGAGGAAATCTTTGCAGAGCAAGCCCACTCACCCCCGCGAGAAGGGAGCGATCGTGCCACACAGCGGAGACAGAGGAGGACGCCCACCTCCCGAGCAGGCCTGGCCTCCCCTACCACACCCCCACAGCCACCCAGGGGCTTTGCAGAGCGACTTCCTCCCCAAGGTTGAAGCGCTCCCGCTCCAAATCCGAGCAGTGTTTGTTCAAATGTAAATGTGTGAGCTGTGGTGGAAGGGAAGTAGGCAACGGCCGAGGCCGCGTGACTCCAGGCTGAGCTCGAGCTAGGAGCCCGGAGAGCTTGGGGCCCGTAGCCGAACGCGATTATTCCAGGCGTGCGCCGCGTTTCCACAGGAGAGGTGAGGCGCGGGGCCCCCGGCACGCAGGTAAACAGGCAAACCTGTTCCCGGGTAGCGACCACTTAGGCCTTAAACCCTAGAAAGTCATTTTTCCAGGCGGGAATATTTTTAATTGGTAGCGAAGCCCTTCGCTGACATTGCGGCCCCTCGATGCAAAGTTATTCGTTAGAGTTGTGTTGGCACGGCGGAACACAGACCCGCGGCCGGGCGGGAGCTCCGGGGCCGAGACCCAGAGGGTGGCGGCGGCGGCGGCGGCGGCGGCGGGTGGGTGGGGGTGCGCCCCCCACCCCCAGCACCGCACCCGGGCGTCCAGGCCCGGCCCACCCGCACGCACCCAGGGGGCCGCACCCACCGCCGCGCGCTCCCCGCCGCCCCCTCCTCCCTCCCGCTGGGCAGGCATCCATCACCGCGCCCGAGCGCCCTCCCTCCCGTCTCCTCCGGGCGCCTCGGCTCTCCTCCCTGGGTTGGCCTCATTTGCATTCCCCCGGCTCCCGGCTCCTCGGCAAAGTGACCTCCGCACTCCCTCCGCGGAGGGAGACACCGCCGCCCG